CTTTTGTTCATATTTGGCTGTCCTATTTTGCAGGAATTTGCTGTAGAGTTTATTTTTAAATTTGATAGATTTAATTAATCCCTGTGTTATCCACGGCTTTCGGGATTGATGTTTTGTTAGTTTAACCTTTGTTAATGGAATATGCTGATTATACAAGGTATTAATGTGATCAGAAAAAAGGGTATAGGCAGAGTTTGGGTCAGATGTGGAGAATACTGAACTCCATTCGGATGACCTTAAAGAGTCCAAAAATCTATTCACATTCTCCCTTGTGTTATTCCTTTTATAAATAAAGGGAGGGGTTCTTGGTTTGGGCATATTCACATCCATGATAGAGAAGATGGGTAGATGATCAGAAATGTCAGTAAGTAGGATACCAGATGAAAAAGACTGGGTATAGTTGTTGGAAAATATGTTATCTATCAAAGTTGCAGAATAGGTAGTGATTCTAGTTGGCCTAAATATAGAAGGACATAGGGAGTGAGACAACATTATTTCCAAAAAATCACTGGTAAGGTTGCATATTTCAGTATTCAGTAAATTTATGTTGAAGTCGCCCATAATGTGAACAGATTTATTAGAGCTCCCAAGGCCACCCAATGTATTTTCAATATGGTCATTAAATTTCTTAATATCATCAATTTGGTGGTCTATATGTAATACTCCAATTATGGTACTGGACTTGTCAAATTTCATCTCAACAAAAATTGATTGACAAACATTATCATCATTGATTTCAAGGTCATTTAATCTGTTGAAATTAAGATTTTGGTTTAGATATAAACCCACTCCACCACCATGCCTATCACTACGACTGCAAGATAGGAGTTTATAATCATCAATATTATAAAAAGATAAATCACAGTCACTTGGTATCCAGGTTTCAGTGATTCCAATAACTGGGAAGGGGAATTTTAGTAGGTTTAAATAGTTGGTAATTTTGTCAAAGTTGTGTGAAAGACTACGTGCATTAAGATGCATAAGTGAAAAGGCATTAAGGTTTGAGGAGAATTTAGTTTTGAGCCTTTCTTCATTAAAATATTCAGAGTCATGGTTTACATTATTGTTGCCAGGTTAAAATTGGTTATCTGGATCAAGATCAGGTGAATTTGAACTAAGTAGGTATGGATTGAATACCAGGTCTTTAAAAGAGTCATAGCAAGAGTTTAGTGGACTATAATCCAATTGCCAGCAAAAATCCGGTATTATCTTCAATTTGATTGAATGGAAAAATAGTTTGAAGGCAAGGTGAGCAAAACCAATCAACTGAGTTATGGCGTAAGGCAATGTGATCGTCTCTGCTGAATTTAGTGCATTTTAGATGAACCCACTTCTTACACATAACACAAACTCTTATTTAAATATTGCTTTCTGATTAACTTGGACATATTTGGCACAAGCACTACAAGATTGCTTCGCCACTATTATGGGATAATAGAGAAAGAAAGGAGAAAGAAGAGTCGCTAGTGTAATTATTCTAACGACTTAAGTTATATGAGTATGAGTGATCTTATTATTCAAAGTTCATACCATATCATGTAAGCTTATTAATGATATTAAGTTTAAAAATTTGATTATATATTGAAGTAATTATGTTTTGACGATTGTCGATACATTATGACAAGATTTCATAGTATATATAATATCATAAAATTTTATCATAATTATATAAATATAAATAATTATATAAATTTTGTTTTGTAATTTATAAACAGAAGTATTTATATAATTTTGATGATAGTCAATAAATTATGAGAAAAAAATATATAGCGGTATTAACCTAGGCACACAAATTGATTAACCTAAACACACAAATTTAGTCAATACAAAATAGTTAATACAAGTAGAGTTTGAATACCTCTTTATGCAATTACTTTGTTGGGGGAAGCTTGACTAAATCGTTTGGGTGTTCAATTATGATTTTGTTTTGGCTTCTATTTAGAAGGCATATAATAATTTATTCTACCATCTAGGGTCCATGTTGTTGCTACTGCTGGATTATTGCGAACAGTATCCAGTAGTTGTTGCCTTTGGGCAGTTAGGCTTTCGGATAGGCTTATACTCCAGATCCCTTTAGTCGCCTTTTGAATTTAAATACTTCAGCTCTCTTATTGTAGGAGCTAAATTTTACAATGATGGGTCGAGGCCGATTTTGATTCCGTTTTTTGGTGTTTAATCTATGCGATCTGTCCAGATCAGATTTGTTGATTGGTATGTTAAGCTTTGTGTTGAACAGGTTCACAGCGATATGATCGGTATCTTCCCCCTTAACTTCAGCAGCGCCATGTATAAGTATGCAATTTCGGCGGCCATATTGGTTGATGCTGTCTAATTCATCAATCTGTTTGAGCCGATTTTTTTCAAGATCGGCCACCAATTTTTCAAGTTTCGCGTTAAGTTCGGAGTACTTATCCTCTAGGCATTTCTGGTCATAAGATAGACTTTCGTAGACTTCTTGCTTGGCTGACTCACCGATTTTATTTACAACGGATTCGATTATATTTTCGTCTTTGACGAGTTTTTCCGTCACAACATTTATAAATTCCTCGGATTTAATAACGAGGTTCAGTAGAGAATAGTTTAAACAAATGTGATTTGATGTCTTCACCTTCCGTCGCCATCTTGCCTTTCGAAGTTTGGCCTCGATTGACACTAATTTTTTTCTATAACCTACTTCCGAGTACGTAATTTGTAGGAAATATCGTCAATTGTAATGAAATAATAAATTGGACAGTCAATAGCGAGTATATTTTGGTAGCTGATGGCTGATTTAGTTCATGGTATTAAACTTTATTGAAGAGCTCAGTAGGCACAACCGACAGCCATGACAGCCACAATATTAACTGGTTAACAAAAATTTCTATGCAGCCAATCTTTTCTTGTTGACAAGGGTTGTCTCCTATCAAACTGTATGAAATTGAAGTAATAACATGTCTTAAACGACATTCAAAGATTGTTGGAAAGGCATGTAATAAGAAGAAAAAATTTATTGAAAAGTTGAAGTAAGAAACTAGTCGGTTACATTTTTATATGTCTAACGAGAAGCAACTACAATCTGAAATGACATGGCTAGCCTACTTAACAAATTAATGTCTCGTAAAACGCCGATCCACTATATATATAAATATTGCTATATACGCAGGAATTTATAATTAATTTAAAAGGTTATAACTAAAATTATTATCAAGGAAAACCATATTTTATATAACATTGCTTGCCGCTTGGATATTTATTTTATTGCAGATATTAATTCTAGCAATTATATGCTTCAACGTAATTAGCTCTTGTAATTAAAAATGCCAATGCTATATTTAACGGAAAACGGTAACAAAAATTATTTTTTCCTAATTTGCAACAATGGTGATATTTTATACGAATATTGTAAATTCCCCAAACGAACTTAAATATTTAAGATATTTTATTGCATTGTGTGCGTGCTTCTTTCCTTCAAATTATTGCTCTTTTGAGTATATAAATTATACATTGTGTCTGAAATCATCTTTGCCTAGAACTCTTTACCATGACATTATCACTGCCTTAATTCCAGTGAGAGGTTAGCAATGGCTTCTTCCATCCTCTTAATAATGTCAGTGTGGCGATGGGAATTTCGAGCGTATTTCAGTGCAGTTCGTCCAATATAATCTTCAACGCCAGGATTAGCGTTATGGTCGAGAAGTAATTCAATAATTTCGTCATGACGTCGCATTGCAGCAAGGTGTAAAGGTGTAAATTTCTCCTCAGTAGTTTGAACGTTGATGTCAGCTCCGGCTTCAAGGAGCTTTTCAATTGCGACGACATTGCGAGAGTTCTCTGCGTGGTGCAAAGCCGCTTTGCCTTTTCCGTCGTAGTCGTTTAAATGCACTTTACACTTTAACAGAATATCAAGATCGTCGAGTTTATTGTCCTGTACAGCATAGTGTAATAATGTCATGCCTAGACTGTCTTTCACCAAAGGTGCTTTCGCTCCTGCTTCGCAGAGCTTAAACGCAAAAGTTGGGTTACCCGTTTCTAAAGCATTCTCTAAAGCATAATGCAAGGCAGTTTTACCTCCGAGGTCAAGGTCGTTCAAAGTTGCATTATTCTTTAATAATTGGTCAAGCAGGTCTTCTCTGCCGTCAGTGCCGTGTTGTGCAGCGAGATGTAAAACTGTTCGTCCTTCCTTATCTTTCCCTTCTACATTGGCTCCAGCTTCAAGCAGCTTCATGGCGGCAACCGTGTTACCTCGCTCTATCGCGTAATGTAAAACAGATTTCCCTCTGTTGTCCGTATCGTTCACACTTGCTTTATTTTTTATTAGCAGATCAAGAAGCTTTTCATTACCATGTTGTACAGCAAGATGTAAAACTGTACGTCCTTCATTATCTTTCCCTTTTACACTGGCTCCAGCTTTTATTAGCTTCATGGCAGCAACGATGTAACCCCACTCTGCCGCGTAATGTAAATATTTACTTTTCCAGCCATCATATCTCATGAAATGATATGAAACTGCTGGTCCTTCGACACTGGCCCCAGCTTCAATTAGCTTCATGGCGGCAACCGTGTTTTCTTGCTCTGTCGCGTAACATAAAGCAGATTTATCTAAATCGTCAAGATCGTTCAAGCTAACTCCATGCTTTAATAGTGTGTCCAAGACATTCTGTTTGGAATGCATTACTGAGTGATGTAACATTGTTCGATTATTATCATCTTTCATCCTCAAATATTGTGTCATGGCAACAGGTAGCTGATCTGGTTTTTGCTTGTTTTCTTCTAATATACGATCAAGTAGCACAACCGAAATTTGAAAGTCCCGCCTTGCAAATGCATAATCCAAAGCAAATTTTCCGTTTTTGTCAACAACGTTCAAGCTAACTCCAGCATCAAGGAGTTTCGTTATTACTGCAGGATTGGAAACCCCTGCGGCACAGTGTAGAATATTTCTGCCTTCTTCATCAACACAATTGATGTCTTTCATCAGTAAGCTTTTCTCGTCCGTTTTTTGGTTTGCATAGTTTTCAAGTAGATTTTTTATAGCTGTAGTTTTACCGTGCTTGAAACCATAATCAAGAGGCGTTTTACCATTTTCGTCAATGGAAAAAATATTTGCTTTAAGTGAGATTAGTGCAGGAACCAAGTCTTGATTATACATGGCCGCATAGTGTAATGGTGTTCGACCTTCACTATCTAGGGCGTTTATATTTGCTCCAATTTCAACTAAAATTTCGCAAGTGCGTTTTAATTTTTCTGTCCGGGGAATCACGAAGCCATATAAACCACAAATGGTGCGATCACTAGGTATGCACGCCAGGTGTAATGCAGTTCTACCATCGCAATCATTATTGTTTACAACTGCATGGTAGCCCACTACGTGTTGAAAAATGCCAAATTGGCCAACATAGTGCAGGGGCGTCCTACCGTATTCATCAATTGCAAACTGACTAACGTGGAGAAATACAAATGCTCTATGTTCATGACGTTGTATCTCGGATAATCGTTGTGTTGTTTTTTCCAAATCCTTGATTCTATCTAGTGTTTCTAAAAACTTGAGAAAGAAAAAAATAGTTTAAGTTATTTATCTTAAAGTTGTACCTGGCGAGATTACCAACTTGCGAACTAGCACGGTCCATATGAACAGTTCGAAGCGTTTGAGACCTTAATTAATAAAACCTATGTCTAATTTCTAGTGTAAATAGAAATAAATTTTTGGCAAACTTATCAGTTGTGTAGTACGTGGGGTATATAACACCTGGCGTAGAAATCCAATTAAGTGCTTTATTATTTAAATTCATTTTCTCACATTTCGATGACTACAAATGTTTTATTATGTCACCGACGCTGAGGCGAACCTTTATCATTATAACCTTTATCATATTCTTAACTTTTTTTCAATTTTGAAAACGTTTTTGAAAACTGCTATTTTGAAATGAGTAAATCGATTGTGATAAAGACTATCGTGATAAAAATTATTAAGAACCACCAACAATGGCGGATAAGCAAAAAAATTCCGAGCCCCTTCAAGTCCAAAATCTGCAAAGAGACATTCCAAATCCCCAAGCGACATTTTTTTTGTATACACCCAACAATGCATGGTTTATTACCAAATTCTGCGTTGTGGTTAGTTTACTTAGTTATATACTCAACGGTGGACAATTACATCCCTTCGCCGGTTGAGAAAAAAGATGGAGGAAAACGTTTGGTTTGCAGAGGTTTCGGGAAAATTTTGTGGAAAGCATCTCATAGAAAAACCAAAAAGTCTACAAAATATTGTCAAAATACGTTTAATGTTAAGGAGAAAAATTTAAAACATATTTTAATAATTCATCTTCTGTTACTAGCCACAAAATATATCATATACCACAAAATATATCATCAAGATCTCGACGGAATTTGCTAAGCAAATTCTAGTGCATATTCCAAACAAAACGGTTGAAATTACAGCTGCTTCTAGTCATTAAACTATAATATGTTTCCTTATAGTATTTCAAGTGTTTTTTATGGCCTCGTACCGTGGGTTGTTGACAGTTATATTTTAACTTACGAGTCATCTGGCACGCTTTAATGTGATGCTACATCGAACGATTTTTGGCGTCAATTTTTCGCGCGATTGCAGTTGAGCGGAAAATTGTGCCGTGTAACATGTCACGCGCAATCATTTCAGCAACGGCAACGCATTGCGAGTTTTTGACTGATCAAGCTTCAAAAACTTGCAACGCCGAATGACGAATTTTCTACAAGTTGATTGTGTAACAACATCGCCAACGATTTTTTGCGCAACGCCTTCCCAGAATACATTATTTTACTTTTTGGAGCGACCGAGCGAGAACTGAAGCGAGGCATATTGTCAACAACCAAGCAAAGTCGTTTGGACCATTCTCAACGGCTAAAACTAATTTCATTTATGAAAGAAAAAAGGGGCCCTTGGTCTAACGAGACTAAATATTCAAAAGAAGAGAAGCAAACGGCTATGAATGAACTCGAAAGATTTAATTTGGAACCAATATGCCGTTTGTCTAATTTTTTCCATTTCAAAGATCGTATTCCTCTTAATCTGAGATCTCATGTCGTGTATCAATTTGAGTGTCAATGCTGTAAAAAAATCTAAAAATTATCTACTACTGGTTTACAAGATTGCCGTGTGGGAGTTCACTTGAATTATTATAATACATATATCTACAGCTTTCTTAAATTGTGAAAATGTTTGAAGCTTTCGTATATCTTGAGTAATATCAAGATTGCGGGTATTCCCTTTGTTCTCGCAGGGCAATCAATAACTAATACACCTCATTATATTCATTTTTTCTAATCCTACCCGCTTTTACGTCATGTCAGGTAGAATTAGTTCTAATCCTACCCGAAACGACGTCAAAGCGGGTACGATTAGAAAAAATGAATATATCTGAAATCGCCAAAACTAAACAAAGACATGGAAAACAATTATACCATTTAATTTATACCATTATTTATTGTTAATTGGTTTTTAATGGCCCTGCGAGAACAACGGGAATACCCGCAATCATGATATTACAAGGTAATAGCATAGAAAGAGGCGAATTAGCAATTGAAAACGTCCCGCCCGATGAGGGTCGTTTAGTAAAATTCCCTTGGGCCTACGGCCCTTGGGAATTTTACTAAATGACCCTCATCGAGCGGCGCCCAAGGGAATTATACTAAACGACTCTCATCGGGCGGGACGTTTTAATAGCTAATTCGCCTCTTTCTATGCTATTACTTATAAGAAGACTGTTCCACAAGTAGACACCACTATAACAAAAGCTTCGTTTTAAGTAATTTGTTCGTGGCTTGGGCAAATTTAATCTCGTCTCAGAATTTCTTAAATTGTACCCTGTGTCACGAACTGAAAAAAAGTCTT